TGAGAAAGTACAATAGAAGTATCATCACAAACCAGTTAACTTGAAAGGATGGGTTCCCTTAGATCTGTTTGTAAGTAAAACTACTTTTTTTGTTGTTGTTTGTTTGACACTCATATGCTTCTGGATTTGGGAGAGACTTTTAGTGCGGTTAGTTAGACCAACTATTTATTCCATAAAGGATGCCTTGAAGAATTTCACTGAAGATGGTCATTTAGTTTCCTGTTAAGTGCTACTTATAAAGGGTGGCCAACACCTTCCAGGGCAGCTGTTTTGCCAATGTGAAAATGCTACTAGAATTTTTACCAGAAAATTCTGCCGTTAAGTATGCCACTAAATGACCTTGTAAGATAACATAAAGTGCCTTCTCCTAGATGAAAGAAAGCTTTCTGAGTAGCTGCAGATACTTTTTAGTCTTAGCAGTGTTAAGAAAATGCATCTAGGTTTTTGCACATGATTTTCTTTTCCATTTTTTAACCTCTGCCTTGCTACAGACACATCCCTCGAAATTCAATTTGCACCACCTCCCCTGAGAATTCTCACTTCCTTTCCAGAGGCAAATGCTTTTAACCATTTCAGCTTTTAAAAAATTTGTATACATTTAAGAGATACAAGTGCAATTTTGTTACACGGCCATATTCCACAGTGGTGAAGCCTGTGCTTTTAGTGTGTCCATCATCAGAATAATGTACATTTTACCCACCAAGTAATTTCTCATCGTCCAACCTCCTCCCAGTATTTCAGTCTATTGAGTCTCCAATGTCTATCATTTCACACTCTATGTCCATGTGTATATATTATTTAGCTCCCATTTATAAGTGAGAACATGTGGCATTCATCTGTTTCTGAACTGTTTCACTTAAGATAATGGCCTCCAGTTCCATACATGTTGCTGAAAATGACATGATTTCATTATTTTTACGGCTGAATAGTATTCCATTGTGTATATATACCACATTTCATTCATCCAGTCATTCGTTGATAGGCACTTAGGTTGATTAGGCTTTTTAACAGAAATGTTTGAGGTTAAGCGAGAAAACACGAAACCGTGCCCCAGACTAGCACACTGTGAAGGGCTCAACTGTGGGCGCCACCTCTCAAAGTAGCTCATCTAGGTGCTACAGAAGAGTGATTCAATGTCTTCCGAGAAGAAACATCTTTTTTCTTTTTTGTATGCAGGGGTGTGCACGCTAACGGGAGGACTTTTCATTCCTATTCTCAGACTCTGCTTTCCATCCCATCTGTTGTCACTACCCTAACGTCTCTGAGTTTTCTGGGTTTGACTAGGCAGATCTCCTCTCTGCTGAGCTGTAGGCCCCTTCACATAGTGCTACTGCACTGTAGTAGGGCTTCTTGTGGGTGGCATCCCGGGAAACATAACCCCATGAAATGCCATTCTAATAGAATACAATGTAAAAGGTGCCCCCTGGAGTTGTACAGCCCTGCTTCCACAGGTGATCAAAGGCTGAGATTACTTTGTTTTTCACCAATCAATACCCTTCCATCAGCTTTCTGTTGCAAAGAAATGTAATGAACCCATTTGGCCTTTGATGTTCCCTTCTATTTCCTTGATCACTATGAGATTGTCCTTTTTAAAAAAAATATTATTATCACATTAGTTTCCTTTAGGGTCTCAGGAGGAAGAGGAGATTAAGGTGTGGGCCATGTCTGTCAATTTGAAACTGAAACACAGAACTTATTCTGCTAATGGGGGTATCATTCTTCCTCATTTTGTCTGGCATAGTTATAGATGATTCAGATATCAATTTAACAGCAGCAGTGACTCTATGGTAGAGGACTCAATTAGATAGTTTTGTTGTCTCAATGGATCAAATTAACTGGAAATCTGAAATATCTCCACTTATTTTATGTCAAGTAAATAGCAACTTGGGTGAAAATTATATAAACATATGCCCTTTTAAACTACATTCATTTAAAAAATATCCTATGTAGTTGCTTTTCACAAAAGCATTAGGAAGGAGAGTTTTGAAATAATGGAATTTGCAATTTCAGTTGATTGCCTACACGCAGCAGTATAACACTTTAATGGGAAACCTGCTAAAGACCCATTGGCCTATATAAGATGAAAAATAACTTTCCCACTATGTGTTCAGTCACAGTGATTATGTGCCACATTATCTCTTCATCTGACAACCAGCTGGGCATGTATAGCACAAATTTTTGTGTTCTGGACTTTGCAGAGGATTACTGAAATTTTGCCTTCTAAATATTTCAGTAATGCTGTTATTTCTACCTCAAATATTTTATTTTATATCTAGAAGTGTTTTACATAAACAAATACACATAAACATATTTAAAAGCAAGTGTTCAAAGTAAGTCTTCAAACTAATCTAGCCTATAAAAATAAATTTTGTCTTTTTCAGAACACTTAGACTAAATGTATACTTAACTAGTACTTATTGAGGGTCCAATATGTACCTGCCACTTTTATTTTTTAAAATTGGTGAGTTTGGGCTAGGTATGGTGGCTCACACCTGTAATCCCAGCACTTTGGGAGGTCTAGGTGGGCGGATCACAAGGTCAGGTGTTTGAGACCAGCCTGGCAAATGTGGTGAAACCCCATCTCTACTAAAAATACAAAAAGTAGCCAGGTGTGGTGGTATATGCCTGTAGTCCCAGCTATTTGAGGGGCTGAGGCCGAAGAATCGCTTGAACCCAGAAGGTGGAGGTTGCACTGAGCCGAGCTCACTCCACTTCACTTCAATCTGGGTGACAGAGAGAGACTCCATCTCAAAAAAAAAAAAAAAAAAAAAAAGGTGAGTTTGATACTATTTTCCCTTTTATTGTTGAGGAAACCCATGCTTAGAGAGGTGAAGGTCCTTGATCAACAGCATATGGCAGAGGCGAGGATTCAAACCAAATTCTTCGACTCTAGAGTAAGTTTTCTTCCATTCTTACAGAGAATAGAATATATTGTGTTATTCACTAGATATAAGGCAAACTGCTTTATGCTAGTTGGGACAATAGATCACTATGAAATTTATACAGTATGCTATTTTTTTATAAAAGGAGTCACTGGTGTTTTGAAGTTAGGGTAACACGTTTACAATTTTGGCCTCATCAGAGAAGACGAAATGGTGATTATGTCAATTATAGAGTTCCTTAAACTCAAGTGGAAAACAGTGGAAATTGAAAAAAATGCTTTGGGCAAATTGCTAAGAAGCTTTTGCTAATAAAAAGAAAGAAAACAAAAGTTTGGAGATAGCCTTAGAAGGAAATGCCATTATTTATCACAGCTGGAGGAAGTCTACTTTGTGCTGATGGCCAAAATGTGAAATGACAGCCACCCTGAGTCCTGCCAGGAGAGGTCTTCAAAAGGAATAATAAAGTAAGGTAGAGACAGTGGTCAAATTAGTCCCCACACCCTTACCTCTACTGCAAACAACACCTCAGCTACATAGTATGCACATGGACCTCCAGTACCATCCCGAACAGCATTAATTCTATGTAATGATTTTTAAGGTTAGAGTCATTCTAGTTCTTCATTTTTTTTTTTCACACTTAGGAAATTCTACACGATGTCTAACTTAGCCTGAATGTGGTTTATGAATTGTACAACCTGTGCTCTCCACCTCAATAAAGTCTTTCATACCACATTATAGGGGACAGAGCCAAACAGTGGAGCCAGGCTTGATTTCAAGTCTAGGCTATGCTACTTTCTGTACAAGTACACTTGGGAAAATTACTTAACCTCTCTGAGAATCAAGATTCAGAAAAAAAAGATACCTATCTTCTAGGACTACTTTAGAAATAAAATCAGGTAAGACAGGTGATATGGTTTGGCACTGTGTCCCCACGTAAATCTCATCTTGAATTGTACTCCTATAATTCCCACGTGTTGTGGGAGGGACCTGGTGGGAGATAATTGAGTCATGGGGCGGTTTCTCCCATACTGTTTTCATGATAGTGAATAAGTCTCACGAGATCTGATGGTTTTATTAGGGGAAACCTGTTTTGCTTGGCTCTCATTCTCTTTCTTGCTGCCATGTAAGAAGTACCTTCTGCCATCCACCATGATTGTGAGGCCTCCCTAGCCACATGGAAATGCAACTCCACTAAACCTCTTTCTTTTGTAAGTTGCTCAGGCTTGGGTATGTCTTTATCAGCAGTGTGAAAATGGACTAATACAACAGGTGATCGGTAGATAAATAGATAGTGTCTGGCACCTAATAAGCACTCAGTAAATGCTTTTCTTTCTTCCCTTGGAGGAATATTTATGAATTTGTACTGTTGGGCAAATATCCATGTACGCTTCAGTCCTCAGCTCAAGAGTTACATCTTTGCAGGAACCAACCTGACCTGCTCCCCAGTTCCCTTTTGATGCCCATTTACAGTTAGGTATCCCTCCTGGATTCTCCATTAATCCCTTATGCATATCTCCTATAGAGTGTAATGCTTACACTGTATCACAAGTATGTGTTTGTATTTCTATCATTTGTACTAGACAATGAAGCCCTCTGGAGGGAAAGAAGAAATCTTATTTGACTTACTGAATCTAGTACCTTGCACAGTGCTTGGCACATAATGTGAGTTTCCTAGATATTTGCTGATTGAAAGAAAAAAGAGAGAGTGTGTGTGTGAGAGAGAGAGAGAAGAGTGGGGAGGGAGGGAAGGAAAGAAAGAAAGAGAGAGAGGACAAAAGAAAGAAAGAAAAAGAAAAAGAAAGAAAGAAAAAGAAAGAAAGAAAGAAAGGAAAGAAAGAAAAGAAAGAAAGAAAGAGGAAAAGGAAGGAAGGAAGGAAAAAAGGAAGGAAGGAAAGAAGGAAGGAAGGGAGGAGAGAAGGAAGTAAGGAAGGAAAGAAGGAAGGAAGGAAAAAAGGAAGGAAGGAAGGAAGGAGAGAAGGAAGGATGGAAGGGAGGAAGGAAGGAAAGAAGGGAGCGAGGGAGGAAGGGAAAGAGAAAGAGAGACAGAGACAGGGAGAGAAAGGAAAACTTTATATTCTAAGGTTGCACAGTTTAAGAGGTTCTTTATTATTATCTTACCCTTCCAGGGAGATGGCCCGTTGGAGAGTCACTGAAGGTTGACGAGTTGTGGTGCTATGTTGCGAATGACTGCAAGAAAAGACAGAAGAAACGCACATCATTTATTTGAAATGTTTTTAAACATTTTAATCAGTCCTATTGTCAAGAACCAATCTTGAAAGAAATACAGTAGAGATTAAATATTTGTTGATAAGTAGAACCCTCCACCAAAATATAGTACTCTACCAGATAAGAGTTAATTTTTTTATAATTTGATTTTAATATATATTATTCAAAAGTAAACTTTTAATGATAGCTAAACATTAAAATGAACAAACATATTTGAAAAAGGTAATTTTTTGCCCTTGGAATGAGATAATATAGAGCATAAACACATACATTTATTTATGATGCAATGTATTTTTTTAAGCTGCAGAATAATTTTTTCCAACAAAGTTTTACACAGAGCCTAATCTGTAAATCAGAGAAGTTGTATTTAATTAGTATAGATGTATTTATTAATTCAAATTTGCAACACTTAGTTGTAAAATTAGTAACAATTGAGCTATTTGGTGAACACAAAACTTGAAAAATGAGACTTCCAGCTGCACATCAATCTTCAAATTTAACGTAGTTCTAGATTTTGATTACCTGTAACAAGGAAACACTAATTTTGCAGATAAGCAATAGAAATAAAATGATAATATCTATCATTTATTGAGGTCTTAAACACTTTCCTGTTTTTAAATTTTTATGTCTTTTATTTCTCATAAATTTAGGAGGTATGTCCCATTCAACACATAAAGAAATTGAGATACAGAGAGGATGAGAAAGTTGCTCAGAGTCACATGGTAACTTCCTATGCTTGAAATGGCATTGAGACTGTTTGATTCTAGAGTCATTTTAAATTCTTATAACAAGTTTTCACATTTTTAAGAATTCATCTCGTAATCTTAGAGTATTCTTTTTTTTTTTTTTTGAGACGGAGTCTCACCCTGTCGCCCAGCCTGGAGTGCAGTGACACGATCTCAGCTCACTGCAACCTCCACCTCCCTGGTTCAAGCGATTCTTCTGCCTCAGCCTGCTGAGTCACCACGCCTGGCTAATTTTTGCAGTTTTGGTAGAGATGCGGTTTCACTATGTTGGCCACTATGTTCACTATGATCTTGAACTCCTGACCTTGTGATCTACCCTCCTCGGCCTCCCAAAGTGCTGGGATTACAGGGGTGAGCCACCGTGCCCGGCCTAGAATATTCTTTAGAAAGAGATGGCAAGAGAATTTTTTATCTGAGATAGGCACAATAATAATAATTTAACAGCCAACTTTATTGAATGTGTAATTTTAGTTTATAGTATTAGGTTAAATATTTTGGTTGAAATACTAGTCACATATGCATATAATATATGAACAAGTGTATATATACATATATGCATAAAAGAAACCTGAGTCTAGGATTTCTCAGCACAAACATGACAAATGCTGACATTGCCACAGAGAATCAAGCTATAGGCTGCAGAGCCTTTCCTTCAGAACCTAGGTCACCATAGGTGGGAAGAGGTCTTTTCCTGCCACAAGTAGACAATATTTGTCTAAGGTTAAGGGTACAGAATTTTGAGACCATAGCTGAAACCTAGATAATGATATTCAAGTTAAAGACTGTGCTTCTTCAAGTTAAAGATTGTGTTTCCTGGTATCCCTCGCAGTGCCAAGATATTCATTGATCATGTTTTCAATTGACTAGTTGAAAAGCATCATAGCATTCAGGCCTTGGACTATGTAGCCAGACTGCCTGGCTCAACCACATATACCAATGTAACCTTGTATAAATTACTTAAATCTCTCTGTATGTCAGCTTCTCATCTTATAAGACTAGGATAGTAACAGCACTTTACTCACAGGGTTATTGTAAGAATTAAATGAATACAGTATTTAGAACAATGACGATCACATGGTAAAGCTATATAAGCGTTCATTAAATAAATAAACAAATACGATTTAGCAGAGGGTATGCTTTGAGATGCTTAGTACCAAATAAGAATAATTACTGTATTTAGACCACTTCAGTTAGTCATATAGTCAGTGCCACAAGGTATATATTTCTGTATATAACTTTAGTGATAAATATCAAATTAAAATATATTTTCTTTTCTTTTTTTTTTTTTTTTTTTGAGACAGAGTCTCGCTTAGTCGCCCAGGCTGGAGTGCAATGGCGCGATCTCGGCTCACTGCAAGCTCCGCCTCCCGGGTTCAGGCCATTCTCCTGCCTCAGCCTCCCGAGTAGCTGGGACTACAGGCGCCCGCCGCCTCGCCCGGCTAATTTTTTGCATTTTTAGTAGAGACGGGGTTTCACCGTGTTAGCCAGGATGGTCTCGATCTCCTGACCTCGTGATCCGCCCGCCTCGGCCTCCCAAAGTGCAGGGATTACAGGCGTGAGCCACCGCGCCCGGCCTAAAATATATTTTCTATTACAAAAATATCATACATTTATAACATATAAAATAAAGCATTTTCTATTACAAAAATATTATAAAATTACTGGAAATAAAAATGAGAAATTAAAAAATATTCACCTATAGTCCTATTACCTTCTTTCACATTTTACCGAGTTATCTAATGTAGTTCTTATAGGAATTCTATAAGGTAGACATAAGTATTTCCATATACAAGAAAACAAAACACATAGAACTTAAAATAATTTTCAGAAATCAACAGCTTGCAAATGTGGAGCCAGAGTCCAAACTGAAGCTTATCTTATTGCCAAGTGTGTGTACTTTCCATTCTATCTTTTTGTCTCTCTGCATGTCCATATGTATTTCACATAGTTGTACATATATACAGAAACATATGTAACTTCATATCCTCTGCTTTTCCTAACATTACAATTTAAGCATTTCTCATAGGGTCTCTATCATTATTATTTTGGTGTTACATAATGTTACTTCCTATGAAGATATAATTACTTAGCCATTTTTGATAGTTGGATATTTGGGTGATGTTTATTGTTTTAATATTATAAACAGTGCTGCAATGAACATGTTGGTATCAATTACTTTTTTCTTATTCTACAATTTCCTTTATATGCATTTCCCAAAATGGAAACACTTATTAGTTTCTTGATTTATGTTATTAATTACTTTTCAAAAGCTTTGTACCATTTTATTGCTTCTAAAAATGTCTATCTGTACCAGTTTCCCCACAGTCTTGCAAGCACTGACATTATAACTTTTAAAACACTCTAACAATTTAATAGATGAAAAATGATGCTTCAAATTTGTAATGAGCATTTATTTGTCTATTAGTGAGAATGACCATTTTTTTTTCCATATACTTATTGGCTAATTGTGTATCTTTTGTGCAAAATGTCTAATCCTTTCCTTTACCATTTGTTTTCCACTGGTCTAGAAAGTACCAGCAGTTCTTAGGCAAAGATCAATGATGGTCACTAACCAAGATTAATAAGTAACTGTAATTTCTGATAGCTTTCTCACCATTAGCTCAGCCCACAAAATTAAAACAAAAAAATTCAGTAATCTCACTTCACTTATAATTACCTTATAACTAATTACTTTGCTATTCTACTGTATTCCAATAACATCCTCTTTAAAGTTCTAGTGACAAAGTAAATGCAAATGGAACCATGAGGTGCTCAGAGAATTTGATTCCTTTTATATTACACATGCAAGGTTAGCCAGTTTCTCCTAGTCTGTAAATTTGGAACAGAGTCTTTTCCAAAATGTAATTATCCTTTTACTCTCTTCTAAGACAAATACAGTGAACTAAGACAAATACAGTCAAGACCTGTGGACACAATGAATTTTTGTTATTCCCAAATATAATAGTAATGTCCAAGCCATACTTGCAGGAGGGATACTTGCAGTGGATGTTTGGACCTACTTGATGGTGATTACAACCGGTATTTTAAAGAACACCAAACAGTTTCCCCTTCGGACCAAGTAGGTTATATCCTTTCCACACTATTGGCTGCATAAACAATGTGGTGTAGAGTTACCATCGCTAAGAAATTACAGGTAACCACTTCCTGTCTCTTTCACCTCCTCAGGAAGAGAGGCCAGTCAGATGGAATTCTGAGAACTGCTGTAGAAAGAACCAAGGGAGGAACTCACAGCTAAAACATGCTGCTCTGTGCTACCATCTCATTTTCCTACATATCCATAATAGCACCCAGAGCTATGAATCACTAAGATTTATTCACATGCCTATTTCTCCTATAAAGTCATGTGTGCTTTCAGAGCAAGGTATTGGGTTTCTTCATCTATACATTCTCAGCTCGGGGTTGACACACAAAAGACCCTTCATCAATGTCTTTTTGAATGATGAATACCATGGATTGAATTCCGTCTATCTGTAAGGCCCCTATGACTTCTCGCTTTGAAATTTTGCAATAGCATCAAGAATTAGGTTTCATCCCCATTTTCAAGGGAAATTAAATTAAGGCCCAGATCTCCTAGCTAGTAGATGGCACGAGTAGAACCCAGATTTGCCAGCTCTAAAGTGCTTGCTCCTCTGAGATAAGCCATATTGTCTTATAAAAAGTTGAAATCAAAGCTCTGTGACTGGTCTATATAGAGCACCTGAAACACTCTGTTAGAAAATACTGAACTCCCACTGAGTAACACTGACAAGTTCTTTTTTTCTTTGGTATAAAATACCACCGATTACTTTTACTATGTACGCTCAACTTCCATGTCAGTGGCTTTTGAAGATCATTTTTATGAAGATCACTTAATAAAGGAACTTCTCTTTCACATCCACACCACCTCATTAGTAAGTCCTGAACATTTATGAAGATTTAAGTGACAATGAATAGTGGGTGGGTAGAATGAGCATGAGGGAGGCTCAGCATCATGCTACAACATGAATGCTGGAGAAGAATTCCCCTGTCATCTGGTAGAAAACCTGTGGCACCAATTCCCTAGTTAGGTAGCTTGGCTGAGGTACTAAATCAGGCAACTGTAGAGATAAATATTACTAAACCTTTTTAAGATCCAAAGAGAGGTATCAGCCCTATTGCCTATCCAAATCATGCTGTCATTAAATAAAATTGAGCAAGAGCACAATAGAGTTTTCT